CATTGGTCTCTTCTTAGAGCTGCGTGACGGATTTGTGTAGGCCGGAGTTCCGTGATGATTAGCGCTAGAACTTGTGGTCTATCCATTTTGAAGACAGCAGTCACGCTTTTATCTACTTTTATTGCGGAACGGAATAAAGGGTATGCAAGAAAACTAGCGTGTAACGGTCGCTTCTGGTAAGGTCAGAGAAGTAACCAACGAGCTGTTCATTTTCGATGAACAACCGGTCAGTCTTTGGAGAAAAAAGTGAACACCCGCTTAGAGAAGTGTGGCATGCCAATTTACGGAGGCCTTTTCTGAAAAGGAATACCAGATTGCTGTACAAAGCTTTCTCTTAGTCCAACCGGATCTGCCGAACTACTAAGTAATTGGGATATAACTGTACGTGAAACTCGATAGCCCTGTAGTGAAGATGGGATAGAACTGTCGGTATCTTATGTCAGAATCTATAAACTGAACAAACGTTCGCCAAGCATCATGCCAAGAGACAGAAACAAGTCAAGTCGCCCTCGAAAGTGTACTTTAACTGTCATGTCAAGTAATTTGAAAAATAACTACTGTACGTCACATTACTTCGCAATGAGGAAAGTGTTACGATAACGTGGTGAACGGCCTGCTCTGGACGCGTTGTTCAAACTGCACCAACATGGATACTGACAAATAGCTGTTTACACAGTTTCTGAGGATGTCATCAAGGTCTGCAAAAGTTGGAATCAAGTGAACACGTAGTCCAACGAATAATCCACTAAATATAGCTTTTCAACCAAGTCCAAATCGGGGACGCAGAACATGCGAAAGTGGGAGACAGAAACGGAGCTTAATGTACCAGTGCTCACCACTATACTAATGAATTCATTGTTATAAACCTGTCCTGTGCCACTCTAACGAAGGGTTATCTAGAAAACGGCTTTGCAACTGGACCTCAGTATCATCCGCTACGTGGAAATAACCGATACACTATCCTTGGTTCACGTTTTCGATATCAGAAGAATCCAGCAAGGTCTGAATGTCATAGGAATACAACTGTGAACACCATTTTCCTAGTCATTCCGCAAAAACATAACACAAAGATCAGTCACGGGGGGTTAATTTTCGCAGAAATAGCTATTGAAATTGCGGGAATTTCGGTAACTAATAAACTGCACTCATTTGTAATATGTTTGTTTGTTTTGACATCTTCTGACGAAATGCAGTGATACATAATATGTAGGACAAACCGCTTTGTTCGTATTCGTAAGGACTTACGGTCCAATTCAACCACATCAATGTTGGCCGACCTTGATTTTACTGGCCGTTTTAGTGTTTGGGCATGCTAGATCATAGTGACATGCTCTTTGCTGTTGCTTATATGAGAAGAGAAAGCTTCTACCATAACACGTACAAAATAAGATGGAGAGTAATCACACGATCTCGTGTCGGTCTTTCGAATGAGCGTATTCCAGATGTATTAACCGAAACGATTTGGTGACCAGTTTGTTCCAACCCATGTCAGATCGGGGTCCAAGTGTTGCGAATTTATTCCAAGTGAGGAATTATTCACTTGGAGGAATGACAAGCGCACACAAATCACAATTAGGTTTACACACCTGGAGCGCTTGAATAAACATTCGTGAAAAGCACGTCTTCACACCCATTCCAGCCTACTCTGCGCCTAATCATTTGGCGTGATGGCGACCATAATGACTGTGCTAATTGCGGCTTAAGGAATGAAACTAATTAAAGTGACAACTTGTGTCGCACATCAGCTGAGCACAATAACCCGCGAGGCGGTCATGATGTCGCAGCCATGACATCATCTTGTCTTGATCTTACTACCACGCCTCCCCGCCCGGGAGACAGCATTATCGATGTTAAGCCTAACCACTCTTATATCTTGTTCCCCTGTGGTTGGTGCGTCGTTGACGACGGTTAAAGAGCTGAGGCAACCACTGCGATGTGCACTCATCTGTGTTTGTGTATAGGCTTGTTTGCATGCGTGCTGATTCTATCAGTGTGCACATGTGTGTATGTGGGAGGATCGGGCCATCGACCGACGTGACATTGCCCCTCCTCGTCACTGGTCTAAAAACAGACCAATTAACGCAATGTAATTTAACTGGCAACACTGGCAACACAAGAGGGGACCGTGACTGGAGACGAATAAAGTAATGTGTTCAGCAAGCGTCATTTGTGTACACTTCCATTGTCCTCTCGCTACTGTAGGACTGATATGACCACCAACCGACTGGAATTTGCTTCACCCACGAACAAGGAATTATCAGAGTTTGCAGTGAGTACTTGGGATTTCTAGTCACTTTGTGGTATCCTATGCGTTGATTTTGCAGAAGGCACTTTTATTTAACGCTGTGTATCCACCCAACACATTAGGACTACATGTAGTTCGCTAGAAGACTATAATACTCATCGCAATGCATAGTTCAACGCAGTTCCAGGAAACTTCAATCTAGTTGAAAAGAAATCTATTTGTATAATAATACCTACATATAGTACAGAAAATCTAAGCAGTGAACCACTTTTATACATTGTACATTAAGTTTAGTTTTCCAAGCGATATGAAAAAAAGCTCATCACACTAGAGCTGCACAGATCCGAGTTCATGAATCGGCGAAACGGACAAGCACCTATGCTTTGTGGAAGACAGATGGGCCACGAGCTGATTGGGCCGAAGTTGAGTCTAGACTCCACCAATCGTTAGCTCCTAGTAAAATGTACAATGAGGTGGCTACCTGAAATTAATGATTTGTTCAGCCAACAAATCTTGCGAATCAGCTCGTATTTCTGGACATTTTGTACTGCATAAACACATTGTCTGGCTGGATGGGAAGTGCTGGTTGGAAACGATCCGCAGGTTTCCAACGTCCCTGGCGCCATCTGACTGACTGGTAGGCCAGCTGATCGACACAACCAAGGTATGTTACTGAGTCATCTTTCGAGGCTTCTGGCGTTTCGCTCACATCAACATCAAACATGCTCAACTGTTCAGACATAAAATTTCGGAAGAGTCCAGCGTGCGCTGGTGGAGTAGTAGTAACACGCTTGCCTCGCATATCAGATGTAGGGTGTTCAAAATCCGGCGGGCGATTGAACACGCACTGCTGATGAGTTCATATAAGAGCGAAACTTGGGTCCAGTGCTTCTCCATTTTTGTGTGGACTCACTAGAATGACTGCGCCGGGACAGGAGGAAAGTCACGTGAGTACGTATTCTACAAAAACCAGTAAACATCAACACCTGACACAAATAAATTAGAATTCGCTTCCATTACGTTACAGTCAAGTGAGAAATCTATGGCTTAGAAAATATTGGAGATGAGGCCGGTGCTTAGCAGTTCTCTTATCAGCGGATACTAGTCAATGCAATCCACCCAGATGTGTATTAGCAATAAATTATGATGGAGAAGGTGACGAATAAACCCTTCATCAACCAGGTAAAAAACGATGCTGTTTTTATCATGTTCTAACCTCTCGGGGAATGCCGAAATCTAAATGACGGTGTAAATTTCCCGGGTAGTATCTATCATATTCCGGCTGAACATTTATCTTGAGGCCCGAATCAAGTGAAATTATGGTATCAGGTATCAGCCGTCCTTCTTCTGTCCACGGAATACTTTGTAGGAGCCTGTGATTCTTAATGACTATATCCATCATCTTTGGGAATTGAATGGCTTAGTTGAGGTCCTATTTTACCATCGCCCGTATGCCCCTCTCCAAGTTTGTTTTGAGGCGCATTTAGACCAAGAGGTAGAGGTGGATACTGGTGTACAAAAGGATCCTTCAAATTACTTCTCACTGCTGAACAATTAGTGGTTTGAATCTGACCAGTCTGTAAATATAGGTCCGTGTATAGGAGTTCGTGGTCAAGGAGTGGATGGTTCTTGTCCAGGTTTCAGACAATCGGCAAACTATTGGCACCGGGGTAATACAAACTCATGTACGTCATTATTGAAGGCAATAAACAGATAAGGCTTTAGTGCTGGTCTTTGCATTGGTGCACTCGGGATGGGTAAAAGACCTAACACGTTCCTCCACTTCAAACACCACCGGTAGATCCACCCTAAAGAGGAACCGCGAATATCGTAAGCAGTCAAGTCTTGTAGAAGGATTTCCTAGTGGTCGAATGCCAAAATGTTGGTGTCAAAACATATAGTAATGAGAGCAGGCGGCGACAATCAAGGTGTGCTTACAACTGGCAGACCACGACTGCCTCCACGTTTTTAGTGAACTGCTGGCTCGTACCTCCGCCTGTAAGAGGTCGGTAGTGTAATTATCCCAGCTTTTCACCCCATAAGTATCCGAGACCTATTGAGTTTTCTGGTCGGCAAAGGCTATCCCAGGTCATTTGCTAAAAAGGAGACATTTCCCCGGGGGATAATGGCTTTGTTTCCGAAATCATTCGGAGAAAACGTCGTGACCACAGCCTTCCTCAAATGACTTAACCTGGGTGCGTCTAGCTGATGCAACACCAGCTGTCAGCTAAAAAAGGGCTTATATCCTCTTTATAAAACACATTACACATGAGGTGGCCGAAAACTCATCGACAACCAACTGCTGGTTTCACTCGTCTTAAGGTTCATCACAAAGTTATAGTCTCCGAGTCTCCACTAACTTTATGCTTTACATGAAAATCAAATTGTATGAAAAAGTGACAAGGTAAGTTGGCGTTAGCGGGAGACTGAGGGTTGGACTGTCAAAAAGTAACCATCATGTCCAACAAACGTACTTCGATATCAAGCCAGACGGAACATGGGGCCTGACTTTCAGTTTGTGAATACCAAATTGATAGATTTAGTTGGGTCTCTTGCTAACATATAGGTGACTTTCAAGTGAGAGTATTTCGCTACTCGAGCCTACCTCGGTTGCATGACATGCAAGCAGCGGAAACTGATCAGAATGGGTTCTTTTATTTTGTTGGCATGATTCCGTAAGCGTCACCCAATAAACGACTTCCCATTATATATGCTCACAGTTTTAATGCCTCCTTTAAGTCGGTTTTATTTTCAGTCATGTGTTTCCCTGTTTCCCTCCCCGCTACGCTCTACTTGTAGTAAAAAACCAATGATACCGAGAATCCATTCTCGTGACGAAACAGTCGTTCGTTCTCCAAATCTAACTGATACGGACATGCCGAAGAGGATCGAGACTTCCGACCACCTGATTGAGAACCAACTCCTTAATACCCCATTGATTCCGCCCTTTTGGACCAACTGCGGGTCGTTGGAGCCGGTAATGGACCTAAACGTTTGTTGCCAATTTTGTTTTGAAGATATTCCATCTTCTCGGCTACTGATGCATATGGCAATTCACTTCCTTCAACTCGCACACAAAGCACCAAATAATAAAGAGGAAAATCCGGAGCAGTTGACCGAATCTGTGGATCGTAATATACTGGAAATGTACGAACGATTCTCTTTGAAGGCACAATTTAGACAGCTTGTACTTAAGTATGCCACGAATTATCTGAGCTCTGGGCTACTTATGAGTATACTGGAAAGAATAGACACAACTGCTGACGTGCTCATTCTGTTGGCTCTTGAACTACTCGCACAGAAGGCGATCAATAATCAACAACTTTACGATCTAATCAACTCCAGTTACTTTGCACTGACACGTGTTAGACAAGATCAGAGTTCTTCAACCAAGACATGTGAACTTTGCAATTTGAAGTTCCTCACGGATGAAACGTGTGCTCTACATATGCGGATCAGTCATGTCCATAACTCTGTGACAGAAGAAGAACAAATCCAACAATCTCAGTTGCTAACGCAGCTGTTGATGCACGTGTTTGAAAAGATTTTTGCCCATGACTGCCTGCTAGAAAAACTATTGCACACCACACAATCTTCCCCAATATACAACGAATCACTGCAAGGGAGCCTTAGGCCGTCATCAGGTATTTTCTCCCCACCACATTCTCCTTTACTAGCTTCATCAAACAAGAAATTGCCTCCTACTCACAACCCGCAGTATAACGATGGGTCCGTCCACCGACTGAAAATCTCTGATGCAGAGCCAACTGATAACTTGTTCCATATAAACCCACCCCAACTGCCCCCATTTGATCAATACCCGATGTCTAGTCAACTAGCCCCGGTAACAGATCAAACATCTTTCCATCATTTGGCATTCATGATGTCAGCGAGTATGCACTTTCCTAGAATTGAACACAAGATCTTGCAGAATGGCGAGTCCAATACACGGCGAAGCAAGAATATTCCAGATTCTTTGTTCCCATCCTGCATACCTTCAAAGTCTGAAGTCACCTCTTCACAACAACAGCAACAGCCCAATTATCAAAGACGCAGCCGAACTCGTCTCAGTGAACCGCAACTTGTGATATTACGATCTTACTTTGATATTAATAATTCACCGTCAGAAGAAAAGATTGCAGAAATTTGTGCTAAGACAGGCCTACAGGCCAAAGTAGTGAAACACTGGTTCCGGAATACACTGTTTAAGGAAAGACAGCGTAACAAGGACAATCCGTACAACTTCTCAGTTCCACCCAGTACTAGTCTCAACTTGGAAGAATATGAAAAGACTGGCCGCATAGAAGTCCGCCCTGCTTCGGTTGACAGCGATCTCAAACGTCAAACAGACCATGCATCATTTTTCTACAATGTTCTTGGGAAACAGGAGTGTCTGCAAGCCGATTACAAACCACCAATAACGTTTCCAAATCGCAGGGAAGGCACTGGCATTAAGCGGTCTCATGAGGACCGTGTCAGTTTGGATTTCGTTCGAGATGGTCAAATCCGTGCTCACTCAGATGCCAGTAGCGAGGGTGCTTCACTGCGTACTTCTGACACAGAATCTTCCAGTATCGGCGGATTCTCAGTCACCCCACCAGCAAAGCGTTTACATCTGGGTTGTGCCAGTGACCCAAAAAATCACCGTCTACGAAGTGGGAACTGCAGTCCTTTCCATGTGGTTACAACTTCACCTAAAGAATGCGAACGTCTGCCACCAAATCTGGATGTGTACGCTACTGAGCAGCAGGTAGGCCTTTATTCAGTCATTACAAATTTTCACCAAAGACTTTGACCTCTTCTCATCTCTAACTCCTAGCTTCTGTTCGATAATTCAATTTTATGCTAAACACGGCAAGGCCGATCTCACATCCATATGTTCTCAAATAAATAAGTTCGTATTTTCCAGAGAGTATGTGACATTTTAATATCGGAGTAGGGTGAACTCGGAGCATCTACAAAATATTTCTGTAGCTTTTCGGAAGAATCTAGTCCAATGTATGAAAAATATCAAGCCTATATATGTGTGGGACAGGGCTTATTATTCGAAATGTCGCATTTTTCTTCGTAGGAGATATAACTGTGTTCTGTTTTCAGCCCCGCCCCCCAGTTAAATTCAATAAAACCAAAAACTTTGATGAGATTAGATATTATATCAAATCCGTCCGGCAATTTTTTTCTAGACATTCCAGTTCTGACCTTTCAACACGACCTTGCGAATAACTAGCAGACATCCGAATCACTCGTTTCTCGGTGTAAGCGAGCTTCACTCGAAAAGTCTCAGTGGTTTCAGAATGCATCTGTGTTATCACCTCAGTTGGATTGGACAGTTCAACCGTAGATTCTGATATCTACCCAGCCCAGAACTATGCTCAGATTCACTCGGCTAATTTCTGACGGTTTGCTCGGAATTCAGCGAGCATCCAAAAAAATGTGATTATCAAACGAACTGGGTGTTATTCCTGGGGCTGTATTACATTTGTCAGAGGTGGCAGTTATCGAGTATCACCCGCGAAAGTACCGCTTTAACCTACATCGATTAAGTGTGATGAAAAATTTATTCCAGGGTAGTGAAACGGTAGTAGAAAAAATAAAAAATAAAACAGAAGTGGTTGCCCATAAATACTTTTGGTCCGAGGTGACGTCCCTGTCCCTTTCGAGTCCAGATTTCTTATATCGGTCATGGTCTTGTATTCACAACCACGACCCTTCTTCTAGGTGCATATCCTCTTAGTCAGCCTGGTGCGATCCACAAACAAACCTTTTGAGAATTTTACTGATCTCGTCTTTGTTGAAGGCACTTCCCCGAGGCAAATCATACCCATATCATTAGAAAGACCCAGCCAGTTAACCAAAGACATCACAAGTCAGCGATCTACACTTAGGACTGCATCTTATCAGAAACATACAATGCAATACGGCTTTCAAAAGGAAAATTCTTGTTTTTTTTACCACATTGATTCTATCTAACTGCGTGAAATTGATCTGCTACAAATAACTTGTAGACACATGACTGGTTCAGTTACTTTTGGTAATTCTCCCAAAGTTTCTTGCTTGTAGCGTCGAAAATCCTCCATCACTTCACGAAACATGGTCACCTAATCTGAAAACATTCACATACAAATGTATGATTCCTTAGGCGAAATCTTGCTCACTGACGGCTCTAGTGTCATCCGAACTCATTCCATAAATTAGTGCAGAAGTCCTACATTGTTACTGGGGAGAAAATCACTATGTCGGGGTAACCGAATATCTACTTTGTTTAGATTCAGGATTTGTCCGTTTGTATTTTGGGAAATCAACCCACAGGACAAACAGAACAGCGAAAATGTCTTTAAATGTGTGGCATTCGTTATTGAAAAGGCCTACTGTATCACATTGTGATTTCTGTGCTCCATATAGTTGCGTTCAGCAGAAATTGTGGTTTGGAATAAATTTTTCGAGCTTTCCCGAATCATAGACTACCTCCTATCCACCGAACTTCGGCGATTCCGCGCACACAAGTATTATTGAATCAAACATCCCTTAGAAACCGATGCACGGCCACTTACCACTGTGAGTGTTAGAAAAGGCAGCGGGGGAAGAATCACTTACGCCAGAACAGTATGGTGGTAGTATAAAATGACATAAAACATGACACCATCCGTTTGCTGCACTGGTTCGATAGTAATAAGACGGTATGAGGAAACCGCGTAAAGCATGACCAGTAAAACATGATCCAAGGAGAGTACGAACAAAAATACGTAGCCGTTTGGTTGCACTAGTCCTAGTAACTGACCATCCGTCCAAAAGAAGACAAAACAAAAAGTAGCTTGTCAACTGAAGCCGATCAGGTTAGTCTCGAATACAATTCAAGTCTGTAATGCGAACAGCTTTTTGACCGGTCCACTGGAGTACGTACACTGACCTATACTTATTTTCAAGAAGGAAGTGAAGGATATTATACCACATGATACCATGTGCCTTCCAAGACGGATCTCCTATTGTTTTGCTCGTCTGGTGTTGGTATCCATACCACTGGTCTGAGTGGCTGACTGGCTCGAAACGCCACACATCATCCTTAAAGGGCTTTATCAGTAGGTGCCGAGGGACCGGTCATGTGAAACCAGAGGCGTCAAGCTTGTAATCTCAGAGCCCCCTTGCTGCCGACTAGATTTCGCAGATAGTAAACGTTGAACTAGAGGTGAATCTTGCTACAAACTGCTGGTGGTGTCTCTCTGAAATTTAGTTTTCTTTCCAAGCCTTTCAACAGCAATCTATAACCTTACCCCGATATATTTGTGATGATTCATGTAGGCTCTCCGTCGTACAGAGTGCTAAAAACGGTCCGTTTTGCCTAACCTGATTGCCCAACGCGACACCTTATTGTTACAGTGTCCTGACTCCGTTCTACACATATTTCAGATTACGGAGCAACATTTGAACGCTCCATCGGACATACTCCAAAATGATCGAAGCAAAGAACCCACTACCCCCACAAGTCGATATCCAATGAGCATACCAAAATTGCGCTTAGCACAGCCCCAAATGAGTTCCTCCTCCCCGTCTGGCCAATTTCAACAGCAACTTGAAGCATTTGTGTTGGCGGCTCTTGGAAAACCTGCACAGACTGAGGTAACTTCAGCCGAATCAGATGTTCCTCTTGACCTCAGTAAAACAAGCGCTGTCCTACCTGGAAATCGGGGATCGTCGAGCCACCTGGCCTGTACACTGGACTCCGACGCTCCATGCTTAAACAATAGCTTTCTTAGCCTTGGAATGTTGAATAATTCCTCATTTCCGACAATCCCTGTAAGGAAGTTTTCAAGCAGTGTTCTTCAGACGCGCGCCCCGTATCCCTCACTCTCGGTGGCATCTCCTAGCACTTCCAACACTGCGATGGCTGGTAACATTGGAACACGCCGGAATCGGACGAGTATAACTGTCTTACAGTCACGATGTATGCATGCCATTTACACACATCACAAAACCCCATCGGTTCATGAGTGCGACAGGCTGGGAGCGACGATTGGTCTATCAAGAAGAGTAGTTCAAGTTTGGTTTCAAAACCAACGGGCAAAAGAGAAGAAAATGGCTCGGGTTTCATCAACTTACGGTTCTGGTGCCGGTTCAAACGTCATCCAATTGCGGAACGGGGGAGCTGATGTTGTCACTCACGTAGAGCCCACTTTCTGTCATTTGTGCTGTATGCCAATACGGACAGAACTTGTTGATCCCCACACAGGACTTACCTCACATTCGGATTACACGTCATCTGGATCGTCTCTCAGCCTACAAACTCATCCAAATGCCCTGGCTTCGCATGCCTCGTTTGTGGATCATTTATTCTCACCCAGTCACTTGAAAAAGATGATAAGTTGGTGTTCTGTGGAGATCAGTTCGGGTCAAACTTGAGAAGCAAACGATTTGACCCCTGAACAAATACTTCTTCATAATTTTTAGTACAAACTAATTTAACTGTTCATGTCATACAGACAAAGTTCAGTCGTATAGGGCAATGCAATTTGTTCTTGTATATAGGTCGAATACAAAGATTCCCATTTTTTTGATGTGTCTACGTTTCTGATTTTTCTTGGGTTTATGTGCACGAATGATAGCCGAAATGATTAAGTGTTACAATCCAGTGTTTCCTAATCACATGGATCCCCACTTTGGAATTTTCTAGGCCCAAGTTAAGATTGGGCACCAGGTTTGCGGGCTCTATTTACTGAAACGTTCACCGTTGTTCCGATTCACCCGGTATCTGGGTTATTTAGCAATCACCTCGACGTATTTTCTTTATTTTGTTCCCTGCTACCTAATAAGAATATAGCTTTGATTGTTGTCACTGGTATTGGGTGTAGTGTGCATCTTTGATACTGGAAGTAGCGCAAAATATCTCATCCGTCATCAAAAGCGCAAAGCTGAGCAGCAACCATCCCTAGCAATCGTACGCCACTGCACATTTCGTTGGGCCAGCCTCGTTCCATGTCATAATTTTACGCATAACACGGCGCCTGATAACTTAACAAAAATTAAGTGATACATGGATGAATCCTGAAAGATGAGCGACAGGTTATGCGGCACTAGTTGGCTAGCATCCGAAACGGATCTGTCGGTTAACGTGACGCCTTTATACAGTTGAAAAATAAACGATTCGCGCAGAGCCAAACAGGAGACGACGTGCAAGCCATTCATGCCAATGGGGACCAGAGGAAACAAGCCCGTTGAGCAAACACGCAGAAGCCTACTAGGGTGACCAGCTTGCTGGAATATGATCACATGACAGTGAGTACCACCAATAATTCTTTGATTTTAAGACAGTTTCGTCCATCGAGAGTAGTATCTTACAATGACATATGCCTAAACCAAGAAATAGCTTGTTAGGCCAGAGGCTGAACTTATTGCAGAGTTAGCCTGCTCAACCTCCTGGTTGTCTTCATTTCTAAAAACTTCGGCGTTATATGTGCTAATCGACGGATCCAGTGAACATGAGAATGGGAGATATAATAGCTTAATATCAAACGACTAAATTTCATATCACCAGCAGTCACGAACAAAATTATATATGAGAGCTGTATCGCTCCACTCGGTGTAAAAATGTTCAATCCGCTGCTGAGAAGGGTAGAGTCTGTATACATAATTCAGTGTTCACAAGAACACATGCTTCATTGAGTCAGTCCAGCAGCGAGTTGGTCAAGGCAGCTGTGAATCTGGACTCAGTTTGTTCCTCTACTCGTAGAATAAACAGATATATTATTCATATTCAACAACGCTGATCGATTCATTTCAATGTGCTCTGTACCTGGTTGGTGTCCCGTTGTAGCATGATCTTAAATGGAGCAGTCTAACTACGACTTTCGACGCGAAAACATATGAAAACCTGGGGTGGGACAATCACATACCGAAATCTGATGTACGGAATACGGTGGGCCTGATGTCTTGCTTCAAGCACCGTAATCTGAGGGTTAGTACTGTCTAGCATTACAAAGTGGTAAAAGGTATCGATCACGGTAATAGATGTAATAAGACGGTCGTGCACTTGATCTAGTATTCATAGAAACATGAAAAAAATCTTCGTACACAGACAAATGGTACTCGGTCAAAGTGCTTTTTTTGCTAAAACTATACTGTCCAGCTTCCGATCACTTTCGAGTTCCGGTAGAGATGATTACCGATGACAAACTTCTAAAGGGTAAAATGGATGCACAATTCTTCTCAACGTAAACTGAATTAAGATGCAAGGGTTTGCGTACATTTATCACTCGATCAATGCTACACTGAAACTTACCATATCGTATAATTTCATGAACGTACTGTCAATCACTGATATTGCAAACCGCGACATGATAAAGCTTATCCTACAATTCACCAAAACGATCGAGAGTGCGTTATGCAAAAGGACTTAGTTGAGTTTATCAGTCCGTCCAATTTGAAAGACAGTCACCTGGGAATCAATATGTTTTTCCAGGGAGCAAGGAGTCGTTTGGCGCGCCGGTAGAGTTTTCCACGATCTAGAGGAATACGTGTAAATCAGGATGACTAACAGCAGATCAAGTCAGTGCCACAACAATAATTCCTTGGATGTGGACAGTCATGTTAATAAGGAGGACTGTGTTTAAAATCGAAATGCTTACTGATGACTGTAATTCATTTGTCTGCAATCAGTTTGATGGTTTTCTAAAATTAGGCAGTGTGCGCGACAAAACCTGGTTGCACAATCTGATAACTCGTCAGCGATATGTCGGAGATGTCAACATTCGTGGAGGTTTTACTTTAGATTTAACATTAACTGGTAATGATACGATAAGTGAATTCAATGAAAACTCCCAACGCAGTCGAAATAGTATGGGCACAATAATCGTGGCCGAATCTCATTTCCAACTCTCTCCAAAACCTTCTCAAACTGAGATCGGTGAAATTTAATGATTAGTCTGACAATACTCAATAGCAATTGAGGCTTTGAGATTGAATGGTTTAACCTGTACAAATATCCATACATACTATGGGGGTACATAAATCTGCCATGGCATAAAGTATTGCATGCAGTACTGACTATGATGCAATGAGAAGATAAACATACTGCAAGATTCCTTATGTACAAGAAACGTCGTTAAGGTAAGAACATACGTTCGTTGCTTCGTGATATCGCTTTTGTAGAGGTCTAGACCGTGAACAGTTCGTGGACAAATATGCTTACGGAAACTTTAATTTCTCACCAGCTTGTAGTTAGGCACAAAAAAGAGTATCCACTGCCACTATACATACCTACTGATGAAGTTTTGCCGAAATATTGGGTTGCCTGATGTTGTTTAGGCTATTCTTTAAGTTGTCAAGCTACTGACCAGGATTCCTCAGTAGTTACGAGAAAAGGAAAGTTCTCTTATTTGCCATAGCTCTCTCTGAACCTCACCCATTGTCTCCTGTTAGCTCCCTCCTTTAAACATAGAAAAAACATCCCAAAATGGACGCGCATACTCAACAATTCTGCCTTGCTATGATGGTGACGAACAAACAGCTCTCTGGATTAGGTGTCATAAAAATCACCAGCTATCATAGCAGCGGTTTCACAATCAGTGAAAAATGTGTTCAGTTGTGAACTGAGTATCACTGCTTAAGTGGCGGACTGTCCAGAATGCCTACAACCCAGGACATTTAACTTTATTCGGCTGCTCAGAGGGTGTCAAATTTACTGGTGGCGCTACTGGTTTCTCATAGTTTACTGTTGTTAGTTTGCCTTTTCCAGAATAATCTCAACTTGAAGGCTGGAGGAAATTCAGTAGCATAGAGAAACTGTTTCCCCACGAGTTTTCTTGAATGGAATTTTTTGAAGAACGGGACAATTTAGGATGCCTGGGACCTGCTAAGACCAATCCTTCCTTCGATGTATCTTTTAGATGGAGGCTACTCATGGGAAGTAGTACGTACTTCATTCTGACAATTTTCAAGGCAAAGTCGCTAGAAATTCTGTATTGAACGTTGCCACTCCTCTGTAGTTCTCCTTAGCTTGGTGACTTTCATCCTACAGTTCTTTTTTTGAAGTGGACAAGTTCCGCATTTCCGTATATCCCGTAGTCTCTTCATGAATTCTGTCACGTTATACTGTCGCCTGTTCCGGTATCACAGAAGACGCGTGGCAGTTGGCTCCCATGAATAGCAGATATTCACGTTCTACCGTCTTCCAGTTGACTCACTCCGGTATCAGACGCATGGCAGTTGGCTCCCATGAATAGCAGATATTCACGTTCTACCGTCTTCCAGTTGACTCACGTAAATGGCTTCGATTCTTACATCGGGAATTACGGCCGATCACCGAGTGATAAGCACTCGGTGGTGAAGATTCAAGGCCACAATTACACTGTCATTGCGACCTTGAATCTTCACTTAGCATCGCATATGTCGAGTACGGCTCAGGATAAATAAGTTGGATTTTATGAGGTCTCGCACACTAACGTTTTTCAAACCCAGGCTGGTATAAGTGCGGAGACTTGACCTCTCAGAAAATAGGAATGCGCAGTTACTTCCCTATTCTCGATGTAAAAGCTGTAGGTAGTCCATCAATTCTGAGTCAAGCGTGGACGGTTAGTTCGTTAAAATAAAGTGAAAAACCAAAAATACACCGATATAATGGGGACATACAGCAAAAACTCAATTCGAATACAGGCGTTATGCACGGTTTAAATGATGCCAAGACGTATATAACACAACCATAAAGAATAAACCATTTTACGATAGGATCAAGCAAACATCACCTTGAGGAAAGGAGACCACAAACGAACCAGAGATAAATACCAAAGAACGACTATTTAATTCAAGTTCTGACAGAAAGTGATATAAGGATGATCACTCATCAAAAGTTAAACGCAGCTAGTCGTTTAACCTAGTCTGTTTGCGACCCAAGGTGAAAAACGAGGTACAAAGATTCGTCCAGCTGCAATAGGGCATAGGGATGATTATGCGTCATGCAGTTCTGAGGAGTTAACACTATAGCTCCTTTGTAAATCTCCCTTACTATGTTACCATCTCCATGCTGGAACAAATCTATCTGTCAATGGCGTTTCCTTCTATGTCCTTCACTCCCTAATTCTAAAAGTTCATCCACATCACTTCATTGGTCTGGCTGGTGCGTTATCACTTAGTCTGCTTACACCAGAATTGTACCACGTGCAACCTCAAATTGCTCGTGTGGCACAACGATCACACTGATGAAATCACAACAAATTGTTTACAGCCTCTCCACTTCAAACCCAATATTATCGCTGTCCATAAGAAAGTGTTCAGGTGCACGGAAAACCTGCGGAACATTCTGTCTCCTTCATTACACGAAACACCTGGTGTGTGTCTGAAGTAAGCACCCCATCAAAACCGGTAATGGAGAAAGAGAACTCATTTGATATATATCGCTACATAACAGA